CTGTGGGTTATCCCTTGTTATTCTCACTCTATATTTCAGAAAATAGAGGTCCAGAGAGGTTAAGCCACTTGCCTAGGGCCACACAGCTGCTCAGAGATGGCTATGAGATTTGGAATGGAACGCTTACTACTGCGTAGCCCTACATTTCTGATGAAAAGTTTGGGGTGGCTTTGGGGGCCATGCTGTGCACAGGGACCTCCATGGAGCATGAAGGGAATCCTTACTCCCCCACATCCCACTGGTCACCCAGTGCTATCTGCTGCCCCCTGGCTGTCACAGAACTTCTGAAACACAAATCCTACCCTGTAGCTCATCTAATTGAAAAAGAAAAACCTTCACTGGCTCCCCATCAATTTCAGGATAAAGCCCAAACTTCTTAGGAATGCCATACAAAATCTTAACGCTCCGCCCTGCCCATCCCTCCTGCTTCCCTTCCTCCCTTCCTCCTTGGCACGGCCAGAGCTGACCATCTAGGAGCCTGCGGGCCGAGCCCCCAGGCTACTTGGCTTGGCTACATGGAGTTTACAAAATATTCGGTTTGTCTGCCTTTAAGTGGGGCTGGCACCCTCTGGTTCACTCTGCTCCCCTGCCCTTATTCCATCTTATGGCCATTCCCACATTTATCCTGTTGGTTTCTAATGGCAACTGAGTCTACTATCCCTGTCCCATCCTGGGCGTCTCACTCCTTCACTGGTTTACTAACTCCTACATACCCTTCAAAACCCAACTTAAATGCTCCCCTGACTCATGTTCGCTATTTCTTTCTTTGAGCTCTGTAAGCACCTTACCCATCACCCCATCCGTGCTGTATCTCATTCTATTGCATTGGCGTAGTGACATATGTGTCTTTCTCCCCAGCGACTGGTCATGCCTGAATTCCTCAATTGATAGTTGACTGAAAGGAACCGAGAAATCTCAAACAAAGAGGAGAGATTTTCCAAGAGCTCCTCTAGGCTGCAGTATCCTCCTCCTCCCCGGCCAAGCTCCGAGAAGGCCAGGAGGGATGGGCCCTGAACTCCTTCAGCATTCCCCTCTGCTGCCATCTTAGACCCATCTGTGAGAGAGAAGTCTCTGGCAGGCTTATTTTTTTCTTTGTTTTGGAGAATTCTGAGATCTTAGGCCACATTTCTTGGGGAGGGCACCTCTGGGCTGTTCATTCAAATTGTGAAAAAGACCTGCTCAGCCCGGATTTGGCATTTTCACTTTGTGTAACAGAAACTCAACTCTCTCACCCACCCCTTGCTCCCTGCTGCCCCACCAACCGTCCAAAGGCTGTTCTGAACCAAAGCTGCTCAGTGGCTTTCCCCGTCAGTATTTCAGGGTTGGCCGTTGGGCTCTCTCAACTTGAGCAAAGCAACAACCCTTCCCACATCTAGCCTGTGAGTCTAGCACCCCCAAACCTCGGCCTGGAGGAGGACCCTCCGTGGTGTGCGGGAACTGACTTTCATGGGCTCACCAGCTAGTGCTGTCATCTCTCTCCAATTCTGGGTTCAGTCATTTCATGGTTTCATATTGGCTGGAAGTCTGAAACCAGCGATGGTGGGAGAATTTACACTACAGCCATTGGCAAGCGCTGCAGATCAGGGCTGTCATCCACCCTGGGGAGCCGGTTGCCCAGCATTGCCCAGCCCACCACTGGACACTGCTTGGTCCCCTTCACGGAGGTCAAGCAGAGAGTTGGGAACAGGGTCTGCAGTGGACGAAGGCGGCATCCTGTGCCTGTGGTCTGGGGGGTGGTGTCAGTGGCCTGGGAGTGGGATTAAAGGGTAGGCTACTGGGAGGAGAGGAAGGTGGAAGAGATTTTGAAAACACTAAAATAGCTCAGAATTCTTGACACCATTCATTCATTCATTCCAGAAACATTTTTCTGCTCCCTCTCCCCGCCGCCCCCCCGCCCCCCCGACCCTGCTCCGTCCCAAGTACCTGGGATTCAGAGATGCAAGAATCAGACCCTGCCTTCCAGGAGTCTAGTCTGTGCACGGGGTGGCCACTCTAACCCTGTCACGGCGCTTTGCTGGGTCCACCCAGGTTTCTGGATGGGTAGGCGGGTGGGAAAGGCAGAGGCGAAGACAGAAGGCTGAGGTATGACAGGGAGGGTTGTGAGGACACCAGGGAACCTTCACTTTTCAAAGCCAACCCCTTGTGGCTTTGAGGCCACCGTGGCGCTTGCTTGCTGGTGAGAACGAGCCATCCAGGAACCTGGCCTTCGTAACCTCCGCAGGGCCTGACTCCACGGCTGAGATTTATAAACGGGGTACCCAAAGCTGGACGGACCCCTCCGGACCCCTCCCAACCACTCAGCGAAGAGCAAGGTTAGATGGGAGGGTGGGCTCTTTAAAGGGAAGAGTCGTTTGTAGAAACAGGGACTAAGTGAGGCAGGGAGCTGTGCTGGAGGCCCCGGCTGTGACTTCTCCAGGCTGACTGCTCCTCGCCGGTCCATTTTCTGTCGCCCACCCAGCCTTTAACACGCGGGAGGAGCAAGGCTGGTGGGATGCGCAGCAGGGAGAAAGAACCAGGTTGCCTTTGCATGAGTAGTACCATTTGCACAATGCAGTCCCCTTGCATTGGCACCTCCTCTAACCTCAAGAGAAGGGAGAGCCTCATCCCTACTCAGCAGGGGAGTAAGGTGGGAGTCGGAGGAGTGAAGGGTCAGAGGCTCTCTCCCGGGTGAAACAGGTCTGAAGAGCCTCACGCATCTCCCCACCCTGAAGCGAGAACAGGTGCTGTCCAGATCAGCGCCAACCCCAGCCCCGCCACCGTCTTCGGTCCCACTGTCCTGGAGAGACATGACCTCCACCCCTTTGTCTGTCCTGGTACCAATGGTTACCCCCCCATCCCGCCCCCCCCGCCAGGTCTGAAAGGTGCACCCTGGCATTCTGACTTCCACCAAAGCAGACCAGGACGTCTTAGTC